GTCTGTTTCCTATTTTTCATCCATAAAAATGAAAAAATTGACCATTATCCATCACATCAAATCATCAATTTTGAATTTTTATATCTTGTGTGGGGCCCAATAACGACTATATTTTTCATTCTCATTCTACAATAATGAGAATCAAACGAGCCCTCATTGATCATAAATCATCTATATTATGGATCACATATTACTTATGATTCACAAATTAACCAATTTATTGGTCATAATCACCCAAACAATGGTCACAAACACTCTTCATCCCATCCAACTCCACCCCCATCAACACAATACTTCACATCATTACCACAGCCAACACCACCAGCACCTATAGAACCATAGCCGACACCACTACCACCTCACTGCAATCATGAGCACCACAGCCGTTCGCACCACCACCGCCGCCACCACCACCACCATTTGGAAACCACAACAAAAACTACCCCAAAACTCCAGCTAAGCAGCAAATTGAATCAGATCAAAAGAGGAAAAAACCACCTATTGCAAAAACCCAATCGCCACCACCACCACCACCAAAAATCACTCAAAAAACCATAGTGGTTGTGCTCAAGAAACCTCAATTTAGATCATTGAGTGCCGCACGCAATAACACTTCCGATGTGGTTAATATTGATTGTTTAACTTTGACTTGAATCAAAATCAAATTTTAATTTGGACCAAACAGGGGCTAAAATATTAAATTATCACTTGATTTTTTAACAAAATAAATTTTAAATCTAACTTTTAAATTAGAAAGTTTAAACCAAGTTTGAGCGTAATCTCCACTAAAAATTAGGTACCTCGAGGCCATTGAAACCAATGGGCCAAAGATTGGACCACAAGCTATGAGTTCAAGTTATACGGGCTTGGGCTGAAAAGTTCATATTGTTAAAGGGAAAAAATTCATAAATGAGGTGTTTAGTTTACANTAGTTTTTTAGTTGAATCAAATAGTGGCTAAAATATATCTTTATCTATTAATGAAAAAGGACGGTTAAAAGGCACTACAACTTTTAACACAAGATTAGTCTCAATTAAGAAATATTATTCGAGAAAAAGTAGCAAAGGACCATCATTGTTTGCCTCCCATGTTATACGGAATGCTGCCACCACCACCACCACTTTGTGGCCAAAATGGGAGGATGCCACCACCACTCTGCCATGAGGAGCAATGGAATCTTGGGAATCGAGTAATGTATCTTTAAAGCATATAAAACATAATTGGCACGAATAATGTTTCTCAAATATCAAGAATGTCAAGGCCGCGAATGTACGATTATTTAGCACCAATTTAGGTAACACTAAGTGACTACTTTTAATTAAACATATCATACAATGTTACATAAACTAGTATTGCAGGATCAGTGATACTAGGTAATCTTATTCTAAATTCATGTTTGTTTTAATTTTCTTCACAATGTGAGCCACACTTGAAAATCTATAATCTTTGAGAAAATTAATAAAAATTATTTTGAAAATTAGTAAAGACTTTCTTGATTCTTTTTTTATTTTTGAAAATTTTAAATATGGAGAAAACTAAGAAAAGGAAAATTTGAAAGCATATAGCTTTGTTTAAGTTTTAAACAGTATGTTTAACTTCAAGAATCTAAATTATGAATAATTAATATCAAGTTAATTGTCTGATCAATAAAAAGTCGGGAACAATGCATATTTAAGGTATTTGAAAGACATAGTATCAAAATTAAGAAGTGTTTTCAAATTTCAAAAATCAAGTTAAAATTAAATTTTATTAATTAAATATATTAAGATTGCAATATTATACACTTTATTGTCACGGACACAAATCACAATTTTTATATATTACAACTTATTCGTGAATCACAAATTATCAAATTAAATAGTCACATAAATATCTTGATTTCAAATCATAAATTTTATAGGTGCAATTTATTTATCCATCGCAAATTATCTAATTAATAGGTCAATTATTATTTTTCAATTACAAATCATAAATTTTATAGGTTACATATTATTTTACAGTCATAAATTATCAAATTAATTAGTCACAAATTAACAATATGCAAGCCACGATTACAAACTTAGTCGCAAACTCACATTGTTATTATTTAGCCTGTGTCTGTTTCTCATTTTTCATCCATAAAAATGAAAAAATTGACCGTTATCTATCACATCAAGCCATCAATTTTGAATTTCCATATCTTGTGTGGGACCCAATAACGACTATATTTTTCATTCTCATTCTACAATAATGAGAATCAAACGAGCCTTATTGATCACAAATCATCTATATTATGAGTCACATATTACTTATGATTCACAAAATAACCAATTTATTGGTCATAATCACCCAAATAATGGTCACAAACACTCTTCATCCCATCCCACTCCACCCCCACCAGCACAATACTTCACATCACTACCACCGCCAACACCACCAGCACCTATACAACCATAGTTGACACCACTACCACCTCACCATAATCATGAGCACCACCACCATTTGGAAACCACAACAAAAACTACCCCAAAACTCCAGCTAAGCAACAAATTGAATCAGATCAAAAGAGGAAAAAACCACCCTTTGTAAAAAACCAACCACCACCACCACCAAAAATCACTTAAAAAACCATAGTGGTTGTGCTCAAGAAACCTCAATTTAGATCATTGAGTGCCGCACGCAACGAAACTTCCGATGTGATTAATATTGATTGTTTAACTTTGATTTCAATTAAAATCAACTTTTAATCTGGACCAAACGGGGGCTAAAATATTGAATTATCACTTGATTTTTGAGCAAAAAAAAATTTTAAACCTAACTTTTAAATTAGAAAGTTAAAACCAAGTTTAAGCGTACTAAAATTAGGTACTTGAGGCCATCGAAACCAATGGGCCAAAGATTGGACCACAAGCTATGTCTATGAGTTCAAGTCATACGAGCTTGAGCTGAAAAGTTCATATTGTTAAAAGGGAAAAATTCATAAATGAGGATTTTAATTTACACCAATTCAAAAATCNTCCGACAATTATTCCGGTGACATTCCGTGACCATTCTGGTCGCAGATTTACAATTTACGGTCACAGTTCAAAAATTTTGTAGGTCACAATTAATTCGTTGGTCACAGATTTCAAAATTAGTTGGTCACATATCAAAATTTATAGGTCACACAATCACATATTTCCAACTTAGTTGGTCACAGATTTTTTACGGTCACAGATTATATACTTTTTAGATCACAAATAAAAAAATTGTTAATTTCATTGATCACATATTTTCAAATTTGCTTGTCACGAATTATTTTTCGATCACATATTGTCAAATTTTTATGTCACAGTTAAATACTTGGTCACAGATAACCAAACATTTGGTCACATACCACTGAAATAAATTGTGACCTATAAAACCAAATAGTTGGTCACGTACACTAAAAACCCAACCCCCTGTCCCGATCTACCAATAGTTGGTCACATACACCAACCGACACGACTGCCAGAAATCATCCCAGCCACCAGGACCTCACGACAATCGCAGCCACATCCGCCACAGCCACCAGCACATCTACCTACACAACCAACAAAAATACCTAAAACCTCCCAACAACACCAAAACACCACCAACACCAAAACCGCACCCAACCACCACAACACCACCACCAACACTGCACACAACGTGATGCCCAATCGCCACACCACCATCGACCGCCGCTGCCACCATCATCTACCCACCAAACACCATCATCGATGTAAAAAGAGTCCCCAACTCCAGCAAGANCACAACACCACCACCAATACTGCACACAACACCATGCCCAACCGCCACACCACCGTCGACCGCCGCCACCACCATCATCTACCCACCAAATACCATCATCGATCTGAAAAGAGTCCTCAACTCCAGCAAGACCAGCACTACCACATAACTCACACACACGATCGGCTTTCACATACAAATATCACACAAATCGACTTCGCCCAGCGCCACCCGACGACGTCGCGAGTCACCATTGAGAGAGTAGACACCGATGCTCACAGCGAAGAGGCGAGCGATGCTGTGATGATTTCGCAGCAGCCGTTGAGCCCGATGCTCACATCGTTGAGTAGTCGTTGAGATCGATGCTGTGATGATTTCGCAGCAGCCGCGACACCTAGATTTCACAGTAGCCGATGTCGATAGAGAAAAGGAAGGTAGAGAGAAATAGAGTAGAGAGAGAGAGAGAGAATGGAGAGAAGAAGGGTAGACGAAAATGAATTAGGGCATGAAAATGGAACGGTTAGATTAATTAATTTTTATATATATTAATAAATTAATAAAATATCCACTACCTGATTTTTTATTAAATAAACTTCATACCTAATTTTTGAATTTGAAAGTTTAAGTACATGTTTTTATGTAATTTCCTCTTGTTAAAAATTAGGTCCACTGCCAACCTATTATTTTTAAAGAAAATTGAAATATACCACCATTTTAATTAGTACTCGATAAACACTACTTACCAACTTTTGTTAATCATTCCAGTTGTATGCTTTCAAAGAATGTCTTAGACGAAGTTTTAAATATGACAACCTTTTAATTTTTCATTTGAGTAATAGAGAACGAATTCAAAAAAAAGGGGCTCACTATGATGGTCTCTTGTTCCCTATCTTTGTTTCTATCTAATCGTATCACATTTTACATAAATTATCCCAGTTTCTACCCAAAAAAGTAACATGAATGACGCGCCCTATTATCACGAGTTTCCCAATCAAATATCTTTCATTCTCAATTTTGCCTAAAAGCAGAATCGGAACTTATCACATCATATACTAAGCAAAAGCACCTAATGTGCCACAATACAACTTGNNNNACCTAATGTGCCACAATACAACTTGAGTACAATTCTCAATATTTTCATAACCTAACCGGCTAACTGTAAGCACAAGTTCAAAGAGAATCTTACTCATCGAGTTGAATCCAATGAAAATGCAGCAATCTTCCTTCAAACCAATTCAGGATTCCTCGCAGCACCCTTAATTCATCTGACTTTACAATGGAGAAGTAATCCAACCGTAGGTGCTGCCACCAAAAACTCACACAAGGAAAACTTAATCTAAAAATACAAGGTAAAATGCTATTACATCTTTGGAATTCAAGCTCAATTTACTTCGTTCTTATCTTATAGAGGTTGTGCTTCGGATTTTTTGGTCCATATAATAGTACAAATGAGCAAGATAGAATGACTAACTTGGCTAAGAAGCGACTTACTCCTCTGATATAGAAAGAGGCATATCACAAGTTTGCCCAAATACATCAGGGATTCCTTCCCAATTTTGCTTCTCCCTTGCTTCCCAGTATCCACCCATGTAACGATAACAACCATCCTCATCCTTCCGAAACCATCTTGGTTGCCAGCCTCTCTCTTGCAGCTTCCTTGCCTGCATTATGCAGAACTTGAACTCTTACTCAATTGAATTACAATAAACAAGGTAGTTTGAAAATGGAAGCACGACCGAGTCTTTGGAATATGACATCACCTGCCAACTTATTTAATTATAATCATGCGTCCTTGTATCAACGGACACATTTGGCTATTGCATAAATACTTTATCTAGTTATCAACCTAAAGAGCTATCATTCACACGAGCGTTCTGATTCCTATAAAAAACACGCTAGAAGCAGGAGAGGCATACCAATGTTAACATGGTCTGATGTGGCTACAGGAAACATACATCTCTATATGCATATATCTCTAACACATAAGATAGCTGGGCAGAAAATGTTGCAATGACCATTTACTAATGCAATACTTCACAAGCTGACTGCAAACTATCTCAGTTCAAAACCAGGCATACCAATTTTGAAATCTCACGTCAAATGTATATCATGTCAGATCAGCTTGTTAATAAAGTTCAATTATGAAGGCTACACATGAGATGATACCAAGACTACTGAAAATCATTCTCCAGAATTGGCATGTGATCTTACAATATTTCAGAATGAGGTGATAAACCAGAAATGAAAACTGCAGAGCATTTTTGAGAAGACAGCCTAATGTTCCAATTCCTATGCAAAGGACAATTTGACAAAAATGGAAGAATATTTTCAATATGAACTACATGATCACTCAATGGAAAATATTCAGCCGCCTGTTAAATTTTGTTGATAGATAGATATATAACTGTACCTGTCTTTGTAATTGTTCAAGTCGTAGCTTCTCCGAATTTGCCAGCTCATATTCTCCATTCTCTAAATGCCTTTGATCAGGTCTCAACCTTGAGTCTGTCGGTGGAAGCTTCTCCCTTAAACCGGGTGTGACTTCATTTAAAGATATGGCAAATGGTGTGAGATTATATCTCGTTTTAGGAACAGATCTATCTCTTTCCCAGAGCAACACAGCTTCCGTCATTGGATCATACCCCTTCGGCTTCATAGTCGGATCTCCCATCACATAATACATCGCTTCATCCCACTTCCCTAGCAGCATTGCTACCTTCTCTCCGGTTCCATTGTCTTGCACAAATCCATGAACCTATTATACAACAAATCAATAAGAAGTATATTGTCAGCAAGGAAGGACCAAACTAAACTCACATTATTCAAACAGCATAATAATTGAAGCCCGTGGTAGTAAGCAATGGTGAAAGTTTAGTCTTTGGGGGTGAAAACTAGTAAGCTGGGAAAGGTATCTTTAGACGTAAAAGTTTGTCCAGTTCAGTACTATGGGAAGGAAGAAGGGTATTTTATGCGCTTTCTTATTACAATGACTTTGTAAGAAGATCATAGAAGAAGAAAAAAGGATTAATAAATTTATAAACGAGGATGATCTGTAAAAGACCACTTGTAACGACCCAAAACTTACCCATTGAACCTTTAAATATATATCGTAAAAATAGA